ATTCGAAGATCACATGGTATGAGGTTTCTTCCTCTTCCATCCAAAGTCTACACATAGTGGGATCATTGTGTAATCCCATTACATGAAGGTGTTTCAGCAAGCAGTGCCCCGAGACCTTGCGAGTTGTAGTGCCTCAGTAACCATGCGTGGGTTTGATCCCCTTAGCATGAGCTTACTGATTCTGTGCTCTCTTATCTGTTGCCAGTGAATTTGGTGTTTTGTGGTTATCCACTTGTTCACTGCCTGTCGAGCAGAGGTTTTGCATATCCCAAATACAGGTTCGGGTCCTGTGAATGGTAGATCACACATTCAGTCAGAATCTGTATGGAGGTTTCATCCTCCTGTTCTTGTTTAAACAGATACAGGCTTGCAATCTTTTAAAAAATATCTTAGCCTGCTTTAGCCCCAAGAGATCGTTCCAATTTTCGATTCTTCTACTGCCAATTTTTTAATATCTCCTATTAATATTGTTATTGCTGATACCGCATTGACTCAGGTCCCTTAAAGGGTGTTTGAGCCTCTTTTCTTGCGAGGCCATCTGTAATCTCGTTAATGTTTACCCTGTTATGTCCTCAGACTCAAGTTACATATTAACAAAGGATCAGTTTTATAATAATATAAAATAATTAGGAAATTGACATCGAGTTTATTAATATATCATTTATAAAGATAATAAAAAAAGAGAGATCCTATAATTGAACGTTGAGGGACACCGCACACGCTAGGAAATGCGCTGTCAATGGAGAAAAAATATATAAATTGATTAAGATTATTAAAGATGATGACAGAATATGCTTCAAGTTTCTTTAGAAAAATATTGTCTAAGAATTGTTCCAATATATCTATTTAAATAGGTAACAAAGAATTGTAATATCCATTTATTCCGGTAAAAAAATATCTTCATTTTTCGTTCGAATAGAGTAATTCAGAAAAATAAATTGATCAGTTACATTAATTAGTTTGGAATCTAAGTAAACCTAAAAGCGATTGGGAACACTAATGAATGTTCTGTACTAGCTTAAAAATAAACTGTGTTTGTCAAACATACATAATGATTTTATGACCTAACGAGTTGATATTTCTGTGGAGAGTTAATAAACCACGATTAAAAGAATGGTCTTTTAATAGAATCTATAAATTTGTCGGGAAAGAAAACAAAAATATCAGGAAAATGACTATTTCTTAGATTTGTATTTTCGAAATAAGATCTATAACTTCTAATATTAACTATGATAATCTCACATCGGTCTGAAAGAAGATACTCTGTTGATTCTGTCAGGAAAAGGAGGAAACTGCAATATACGGATATTCCTTAAACTTGGAGATAAATAACCAAGGGCAACCAGCTACGCTGGAGCTCCACTTTCTAGTCTATGGAGTCCACTACAAAAGATCAAACTAGATAAGGTACTCTAAACAACAAATAAATAATATTCACAATAGATCTGAAAAGGTTAAGGGGACAATCTACATGGTCTATAATCCTAACGAAATCTAATCTAATGATATTTTAGAACATTCTGAAAAGCTATTAGTTAACTTTATGATTAGGTTATATAGGTATATGTTTAATGATTTTTCTATAGATATTTAAACAATTAAACAACTGATATAAATTAACTATTTATGTGTGAACTTTCCTTAACTTTCAATATTTGATGTTTACTCTTTATCTGACCACAAGTATTTTTACCGCGTCCTGTTTTTCCTTTATATTATTTATTATTATCAAAGTAGATCTTAATAACGTTTATAGTTATTGAAAATATTCAATAATTTATCTGAACGACGGCATTCAAGCTAGTACAGGGTTTGTAAAGACCAAGAGAACAACGGAGACATTATATTAAAAAAACCCTTAATAGAAAGTAATAGAAACTATTTAATATAATTTTAGTATCCATGCTTTCAAATTTAAGATAAATTTACGTTATTTTTGATTTATTGTCATAAATATGGAAACTACATCCTTAGAGCGGCCCTGCATGTGGTATGCTAGTTCAGATTTAGAATTAAAATCACATCAGTTAATGTATCAATCAAGAAATACCTGAAAGCTCATAGATGACTAAATCACTGATTAATCATAATCATTAATCATGAAAAGCAACCCCCAACACACCCCCAAGACTGAATAAAATATCCCATCCCATTAATTCGAATTTGGAGATAAACATTTTATGATTGATCAGATACATCGCATAATAAATAAAATGGAGAAACCTCCAAAAGAAAAAAAATTGCTCCGCAGTATTTCTTGATACATCAGAAGCCTTCGACAAAGTGTGGCATCAAGGCCTACTCTTTAAAATAACGAAATTTTTCCCGATGTAATATGTCCAACTACTAGAATCATATCTAACATTTAAAGTGGAAAATGAATACTTGGAATCCAAGTCAATATATTATGTTGGCGTTCCACAAGGAAGTGTTCTTAGGCCAGTAATATATTTACTATACACCTATGACATTCCAGAGATAGATAATATAAAATTAGCCACATTCGTTGATGATACAGCTGTTTTAACCATATATTTAACTATGGAAGAAACATCAGCTGATCTTCAAAATGAAATTAATAGTATATAAATCTAATTTAAACAGTGGCGCACAAAAATTAAACGAATAAAATTTTACCAATAGAATAGATTATATACGAATAAACGTAAACAACATTATTATACCAAATAAGAAAACAGCAAAATATCTGGGTCTAAATATGAACGCTAAATTAAAATGGAATAAGCATGTAAAAATTAAAATTGAGCAGCTAAAGATTAAATAATATGGAAACATATATTGAACACAGTTTTTGCATTTTTATGTTTAAATATTTTAAATAAAACCTCTCTATTTCTCTAACTGAATCAGTTTAAAAATAATTATTTGTTACCTATTAAGTAGAATAAAATTAACATATTATTTATAAACTCGATATTCTCAATAAAATTTTAATTCCTACATCGAGACTATTTTTCAAAACTCGAATCAAACAAAATTAATCAATCACGATGAACGGCAGATTTATTTATATTTGATATTTTTTCAATAAAACAAAAGTTGAAAATTACAAACCTGTATAAAAACTGTATAAAAAAGCGAGTAATTACTTTAACATATTTTCCGTTTGATGTTGTCGTCAATAATGTATTGGTTGCAGGCGTTTAAACCTGGGGTAATATGAGTAAAAATGTTACTAGACTCGTTGTATACATTTTATTTAAATATAGTTTTATAGTCATTGGGTTTTTTACTAAGGTTATCCATTTGTTGTTACTGTATTACACTTTGTTCTTCTTGGTCTAGATCAATTTTTCTTCCCGCATCTAGGTGGTACCACCCCACAGCTCGCCATAATTCGTCTAGGCTACTAATTTCCCATTATATTCGTAGCTTACATAGTTGCTGATATATTCCAGTTTGTATAGTATAATTCATCCAAATTGGACCCAAAACCCTTACTAATAATTCTTCCGGATGAGATGATACACAGGCGTACTAATTCGTCTTATAGCTCAGAATGCATATTGCTTCATTATTTAGAGTCCTGAGTCTCAGGACCTTTAGGATAATTTATTTTTTATTTTATAGGTGCCCACAGCATACAATATTTTTTTTTACTCATCTTTTGAGAAACAAAGACAAATTGCTATTTAAGTATCATATTTAGTTGTATTAGAAGTGTCACAAGAGTGGTAAATGTATTTAATAATATCCACATTTAAGAAGACATGTCATTTTAACCTTGAATTCAAAGCTTTGCACAGTGAAAAAAGATTTCTGTGAGGAAATGTCCAGTTTCTGTAGTAAGCCATCAAAGTTTTTGTAACTACGGCATTTAACTTGGCGTAGCGTGTTCACTGTATTTGGCCAAATATTTCTTGTATTCAACATATCACAAATATACCATCCAAACATTGACTGAACCCGCAAATAACTCAAATCATGCCAAGAATATTTGCTTATTCACAAGACAATAATAGCACAAGAGTGATGAGAGCACAACAGCAGAATTTTGCTAATACATTTATCTACTATGAAGAAACCATTTTATATACTTAGACGTTAAAAGTATTCAGTTTCATACAGGTACACTCAAAGCTTGCGTGGGACTGTTAAGAGGCCCAAACAGAGCTAAGTAGTCAAAACAGTTTAACCTTAGCTTATGTACCAGGGCATAAGGCAATGAAGAGACTGATTTACTAGCCCAAAAAGGTGCCCCAAGGGCTCTTATTGACCCACAACCCTTCTGTGGTGTCACAAAGACAACTATTAGAACATGCACAAAGTAGTGGGCGTTTAAAAACTCTAAGGAACGGTGAAACAATTCACCAAGACAGAGACAGGCCGAAGAGTTCTTAAGAAGACCATCGCCAAAACTCCGGAGCATCTACTAAGCCATAGTAGGAAAAATACTAGAGTACTAGTAGCCCTATTAACATTTAACTTTGTATATGTATAACATTGGCCTGCCAGAAGATACCTTGTGCCAATTATGTAGACAGAGGAGCAATGCACTTATTGTACTACTGCGAAGGTTTATCAAAACATATTTCTTACACTTGGAGAAGAAGATCCAAAGCAACTATCTACACCGGAGAGCTACTTCCTAGTCTAGGTACTCAAAGCAACGATTAAAGGATATCCATAAAAGGCCGAAGGTGAAGGAGGCTACATGGCCCATAGTCCTAACGAAATCTAATCTAAAGTATTTAGCAACCATAGAAGCGCTACTGAGCGAACCAAATATGGAAAGTAAACGAAAATATTTGGCTACTTGAGTCCTATGATGTTTGTCTAAAAACCGACAAGTGGACGAAAAAACGTTTGCTATTCGCATTATTTGCATAATTGTGCAAATAAATCAAATAGAAACAAAAAGCTTCTCCACTTGGTCATTTTTGGACACGCAAACAAATATACTAAAACTCTACGCCAAGTGAATTGCCGTCTAAGAAAATTAAGTATTCTAAATTTATGTTCTTCTATTTTTTGTTTAGAAACGATGAAAAAGAGAAAAAAGACTAAGGAACCTGTTGAAACGAAGGTACCAGAACCACCACCAATTAGGGCTCAAACCAAAATAGAAGTAGATGCAAGTCCAGAAGATGCGGACAGCAAAAACAAGAAAAAGAAAGCACGTACCACTTTTACTGGCCGACAAATTTTCGAGTTGGAAAAACAATTTGAAATGAAGAAATACCTTAGTAGCAGTGAGAGGTCTGAAATGGCCAAACTTCTTAATGTTACAGAAACGCAGGTTAGTTTTTATATCATCTATATTTCTTCGTCATTACCATCATGAATTTAAATAAATACGATCCTAGTTGAGTTGGTACATAAAGTGGTATTATCTTTTCCTCTCATCTCTTGCTGACAAAACCCTTTTTTCTTCTTTGGTAGTGAAGAACCTTTTTTGTCTTCATTGTTTGGACTGTACGTTGGGTTTGGGACTCAGATTATGAAACGGCGCAAAAGTTTTTCGGATTGTAGCGAAAACAATGTCAAAAGATCGCGAGAAACACTCAAACGATTCAGTTTTTGATCCATTGTGAGCAATCGGGGCACCAAACACGTCAAGTATTTTTTCATTTCCAATTGTTCAGTTAAAATTCTGTGCATACTGTCATTTGAGATACCTCGCGCATTTATATTCGACGGTTATCTAATACAATATGGTGGACTTGTTCAATTATATCCGGGGTAATGGCAGTTTTTTGACATAATGTACCTATCTGAAATATTTTGTGATATCAAAAAGAACTATAAACAGATATAGAAGAATTAGGACAAATATAGTTTTCTAAAAGTTGCTTGTTTTGATAACAGGAAATAATGTATCAAAAACATAAAAAATACTTTTATTTTTCCACATTATTTTAACAAAACTGCTTTGAAAGCAAAAATACTCTTCCAGAGAAAACTATTTTCATACCTTCTAGCACTTAAGGTGGAAAACATGAATCTAAAGTGCGACAATCTTTTTATTGGCCGGACTAATTTGTAACGAACTGGAAGCAAACATATTTCATGAGTCATGTTTTATGGTGAAGTTAAATGTAGCGGACAGTTAACACCTGGCATCAATAAACATGCTCTTTACCTAAAATATTATATTCGCTCAACCAAATTTTTGGAAATTAATAATTAATGATATAATACAAAAAAGCTAATGACTGCCTAGGTATATTCAAATTTAATAGACGCAATATAATCGCCAATAGGGTCATAAATACAATTAATGTAGGCAATTCTAATTAAAACCAATATTACATCAATCAGAATTCTACAAATAAATACAAAAATACACTTATTCATGCATCATTATTTTACTGAGACTTTACAATTCTGAGAATTGAACAACACAACCAAATACCTAGACTACAACAAGTTCTCAAACTTTCCCGTGATCTGGACAAACAACAAATTGAAATTATTTTAAATTAGCTGACCGGCTACGTAGGACAAAACTTTCTAATGCAGGTACGAAAATTTAAACGCTGACCATTTAAGCCAAATCTATTAGAGACGAGCGTAAGTGGGAATGAGGTGGAAGTCGTACGTATTGTATCGTAATGCGCTGCTCAGCCATCTTTGTTTGTTTCACCCATCGTCCTATTTATAACTTGTAAAGTAGAGAGTCGGCGTTTAGATTTCCGTACCTGTATATTTAACCAAACTACCAAAATCATTTAGGAGATATTTACAATATAAAGATTTCATCTGACGCATCTATTAGTCAATTCTAGAAATGTAAACTAGATTGGGAAATATTTGATTATTCAACCTGAAATAATCTTGATTTAAAGAAAAAGCACAGCGTACGCCCTTAGGACAATTTGTTGTCTACCCGAGTATTTTTCTTTTCGAAATTTTCTCTCTCTTTCTCTCACTCTATATTTTTGCTTTACATTTATAGTGAAAAGAGATGTTTAATTAAATTAGGCTAAGATTTCTGTTTCTGTACCTTTTATCCGTATTTAAACGAAGTGGTCTGATGATACCAGCAATTTAAACTCTAATTGTTTTATTTTTTAATTTAGAATTCAAAATTCTCGAGGTATTTTAGTACTTTTTAAATGCTTTTTATAAGACGGCAATTGAGTATAAACATAATGAGGCAAAAAATGAATTATAAAACATGGTACCTAATGAAAAAACATTCAATAATTGAAAATAAAATATACAATATTTTACAATAATAAAAACATCTACAAAAATAATTCGGGTAAGTCAAATTGTACCAACCATCATCTGTACAAATTATTCCAATTTTTCGTTAAACTTGTTTTCACTTTAAAATCAATTGTTCACTATCCACTTTTCTCTTGATTTATGTTTCCATCTTTAATAAATTACAGGTCAATAAATATTATAGATGCTTTGTGAATTAATACTTAAGAGTTTCTAATAATTAAATGTTGCTAGTAACATAAACACGCGTTTAACGCTTCTGTTACCCAATGGGCAAACTCAGCGTTACGTGGAAACTAATTACTATGATCCTGTATCCCTTTGACTGAAATATCCTTTATAGATTAAATTAAGTATTAATTTGGTATTATGTCTGTATATGAGAAAGCTAGCTTGTAATATTTTCAAGATGTCCAACGCAATAGTTTTCGAACTTGTTAAGGTGAGGAAAACAAAGTTAGGAGTTTTTCCATTCATAATTTACGGGAAAAGTTACAGTAGTAATTTGAATTTAAACGCGAACAGTTAGGACAATTATTCTTCTCAGTAATTAGATTAATTTGAATGATAAAGTGTTTCATTTTATTTTTTTAACCTAATGAGAAGTTTTTATAAGCAATTGCACAGTAAAATAGCTCTGAACCTTTGAAAGCAGAAATTGTATTGGAGATGGACTGCTAATATTATTATCTATTTATCGTGGATTTCCTGGGCGATTTACAGATGATTGATGGTACTATTTGACTTACAGGTGAGGAAAACTCCACCTACTAAAAATGCAGTCTCCCTTATATCAAATTATCTCAGTAATCGCACTCATAAAGTAATTTTGGATGGTAACATATTAAATTTCCTACAATAATACAAAGGATGCTACAGGGTTCGATTTCGGGACTAATCCTATTTGCTTTGTACATTTCTAGCTTCCAAACCTTTGTTCAAAATTGTGCGATTCACTATTGTGTTGACGATACGCAGCTTTATCGATCTTTTGCTTTGTACATTTCTGGCTTCCAAACCTTTGTTCAAAATTCTGCGATTCACCATTATGCTGACGATACGCAGCTATATCGATCTTTTGACAAAGAGTCGCTAGGTAACTTAAGTTCTTATTTTATTATTTAATGTATCTATTGCTCACAACTTAAAAATAAATCCGTCTAAATCAACAACAATGCTATTTGGCAATGCCATCCTTCTTCCTTTCACAGGCATCCATGGTTTAAAAGTTAAAAGTAATAATAATTCAGATTCAAAACGTAGATTTATAGTGCATTAAGATTCTATTATCTTGGAGAAGGTGGTCTTGTCCAAAAGAACTTCCTATGTTTATGTAAACACCCAAGGTGATCTCTCTATCCTGTCAAAAACTAGGTAAATCAGTTGATCTGCCTGAGGTGTATTCATGTTGATTTGGGTGCAGTGATGTTGTTGAAAACACCACATCCCTTTTGTACCTTTCGTATAGCATTTTCAATGTCTCAAGATGTCAGGCAAACTAACCGGTATGTTTTTAGGATACTGTAATTTGTGTATGAAGACTACTTTTACCTCTCTCCATTTTTTCGGATATACCTCAACGCCAACGAGGATCTGAATATATCTACCAGATGCGGTGTGAGTTCTTCCAGACTACACTGATTTAAATGGAGAGAAGATAGATATTGACCATCTATTTTGTTTTTGGTTCTTATGTATTTGGCAGTTTTCCATTGGTAGACAGATGGATTGTATTCTTCCTCTGCCTAATCGGCAACATCAGGAAAGTATGTTGACAGCAGAAGTTTGATGCTTTTTTCCAGGTTTGCAGTTTTCATGCCATCCTCTTTGATTAGTGCGGTGTGGAACTCTTGATAGACATCTTTGCAGCCTTGCTATCTACGGGAAATCTTCACTTCGCAGTAGACTCTTCATGCATCTCTCTTTTTGTCTAACGACTTTTTGTATTCTCTGGGATGAGATTTGTAAGTGTTCCAGTCCTTTTTGAGTTTTGTGGTTCTTGCCTTATTAAAGGATTTCCTAGCCATCTTTCTGAGGTGACACTATCTTGCGGTACTCATATGATCTCCTTGGACCAGCCTGAGGAGGCAGGATTTCTTATAGGCAACGTTTATTGTGTTTTGGATGGTGTTTGTTTTTGTCTAGTGTTTCGGCCTCCACCTTTCGCACAGCCTCTTGGAGAAGGTAAGCATAGAATGCCCTGTCCATCTTCCTAAGGTTCTGAAATAGCGTGGAGGTCGGCAACATAAAGTTAATTTTGAATGTTAACCGAGGGTGGTCTGACTTTGCTTTAAAAAATGGTTGTGCCGAGCTTTTGGTTCAGGAAAAGAGATGGCACAAGTACTTTTTTGAGTTCTATTAATTAATGGGTATCCAGTGGCATAATTCTGATCTCATTATCAAGTCGCGTGCCATTGTTTTAATCATTTTGCTCAAGATAGTGATTGTCACAGATGCCGTTTGATAAAGTACAATGTTTTTAGATGCTTTCGGGACATATTTCATATCGTTTGATGACGGCCGAAATTTTCAGGGCTCTCCTACTATTATAAGCCGTTTTATCCTAAAAAAAGAGAATTTTATTTGTTTAATTCATTGATGTAACTATAAATATTTTTATCTAAATCTTAGATGTTTTTCTCTTCACTTATACATGCACTTGTTTAATTTTTTGTATCATCTTTTTGTAATAGTCCAACATTGTCTGTTTTTCGGTTTTATATTTTAGACTTTTGACAACCTTGATTCCGGTTCTATTCAATGAATGCGTTTTGAATTAAATAATAATTGTGAAAACAAATGTCTTTAGATTGAACATAGTGAATATTGGAGTTGGGTTTGTCCAATATGATCGTGGTTTCATTAATAATTAATATTCAACTAATATTCAAAATTTGTGGGAATTTTTATTGACGTTTATAATTTTATTCAATAATTACGGCTCATTTTCTGTGTTTGATATATGCAATGACAGTTTTGTCATGCGGTTCAAATAGTAGACAACAAATTTATATGACATTAAATTAATTATTATTTGAATGGTACCTACTATATCCACTAGCAAAT